CTCTTACTACGTATACGTAGTATATACTATTATTCTTCTCTCTCTCTCTCTCTCTCTCTCTCTCTCTCTCTCTCTCTCTCTCTCTCTCTCTCTCTCATGAGACCACAGTGCAACTTGAAGGATTCTTTCTCCACTATCTGTCCTCCAAACATTTAATAACTGAAGAGGAAACGTGTTCTGAGATGGAATAATCAACGTGTGCTCTCTTTTTCTTTTTACAGTTAAGAAAGCAAAGCTCCAGGGACCACCAGGTACATCCGCGTCGGCTTCCTGACTTTGGGGTGGTAGCTTAAGTGGGTTTTACCTTCTCCCCTGTTTTGATGGCATGTCTTCTGGTTTGGGCACATTTCACCAAACAGGTGGAGATGAGATTCCAAGGCGGCGTGCCTGGGGTGCTTGCTTCTCCTCTAGGGCCCCCCTCCTCTGGAACAGCCTCCCTCTGGGAGGGAGACTGGCCTCTTCGATGGCTGCCTTCAGGAAGCTGGTTAAGATGGAGCTCCCAGAAGGCATTTGGGGATTGATTTGTGGTTCCCCCCGTGTTGTTTTCTGTTGTGGGTTAATTGCTCCATGTGGTTTTTCGTTATATGTTTTTATGCTTGTAAGCCTTGTGAGTCTGGAAGATTTCGCAGCAAACAAGTCTAGTAAATAGAGTGCAGAATTTAACCTCTGCCTCTGGAAAGCTCCCCAAAGACCAAATTCTTGGGAGTTCTTAAAGCTACTTTAATGGGGTTCTGAGCGATGGAAATTCCAAGCAGTGGCATTCTTTCAGTGCCTGCCTTCAGCAACTCTGCTGGCCTCTCAGCGATGAAAGAAGATGGACATTTGTGCCAATCTCTCAGCCAAAGGGGAGGTTCAGAAGAACTCCAGCTCATGGAAGAGAGGGCTGACCTTGCTTGCATTTTCAACACCTGGCTGGGCATTGAGGGGAAGGTTCCCATCCTAGAGATATGCCTGGCTGGGTTTTCTGGGTTTCATCAGCCATGAACCCATAGCCAGAGCTGGGGTGTAACCACTGTTATTCATGAGACTCTGATGGCTTCTCGGGGTGCTGTTCCACAGAGAGCTGAGATCCTATTTATGAAGTTGGGCTATAGGGATCAGAGGGGACTGTTGCAAATATACCAGCCTCCTTGAGCATGGCAGCCCCCCAACCTGAGCTGCTTGAGGCTATAGCCGGGTTGGCAGTGGAGTTCTTCGTGCTTGTGGACTTCAATCTTTCTTCCTTGGGTGTGCATTTGGAGGTAGCTTGGGAGCTAATGGCCACTGTGGCAACCATGGATCTGATCCAAGTGACTTCTGGCCCAACTCACAGTGGGGTCACACATTAGATCTGGTTGTTATCCCAGACAGTGACGTGATCTGCAGTTGGGGGATGTTAACATCAGTCCCCAGTCATGGGCCTTACAGTTCTTTGAGGCCTCCACCCTGCCAGTAGGGGGTAGGACCTATTTGATTGGTCTGCCTCAGGCACCTGCTGGACCCTGTGGAGTTCCATCGAGAGTTTAGGGTTGTTCCTGTGGCCCTGGTTGCAGTTTGACTGAGGCCTTAGTCACTGCTTGGAGTGAATCACATGGGGATCCCAGAGACCCCCTTGTTTCTAGAGGAACTCTGGCTAATGAAATGGCATAAGAGCACTGCTGGAGGAAAATGAAGAGTGAACCTGACTGAATGTGGGAAGACCCTTTTTTAAGGATTACCTTGCAGCGATAACGACAACAAAACAGTCGTTTTCCTGCCCTTTGCGTCCACAGAATGCTGGCCAGCAGCCCATTCCCTTTTGGGTAAGGATGGCCCAGGGGAACATTTACAGGGCCATTCTGAGGATTATTCTTGGCATCTGTTGGGTAACATTGCTCAGATTCACTCAGAACTGGACTCCAGTTATACAGATCCTGTGGAGGTGTCTGGGATGTGGTCTTACCTGGTTATCTGGGAAGAGCTTGAACCTGTTAGTCCTGATGAAATGGACAGGGTCCTTGGAGCTGTGAGTTTGCCACCTTGGTTTTAGATCCTTGTCTCCCCTGGTTGTTCAGGGCCTGGGTGGTGGCATGCTGAGTCCATGTGGTGGCTAATGCCTCTTTGCAGGAGGGAGTGGCGCTGCCTGTTTTGAAGGTAGCAATAATCGCCCTCTCCTCAAGAGGCCCTCTCTGGATCCAACATAAAACAGGCAGTCCTCAGGTTATGGCAGCAATTGGGAGTAGAACTGCCATCGCCAAGCGATGCGGTCGTAAAGCATGATGTCACGTGACCACATCACTTAGCAACGGCAGTTACAGCAGTCTCGGTTGCCATTGTTAAGCAAGGACCACATGAGTCATTAAGCGAGAATCTCACATGTCCGCGACTTGCAACTTTGCCAGCTTCTCCGTTGACTTTGCTTGTGGGAAGCCAGCAGGGAAATCTCAGTCACGTGACTGTGGCTCGCTGCAACATTGTAATTGTGAGCCGGGCACTAAGTGTCTGAATTGCAGTCACATGACCACGGGGATGCTGCAACAGCCGGAACTTCTTAAGTCCCCCTCATTCAGCACCGTGACAAGTTTAAACAGTCACTGAACGAGTAGCCGTAACCCGAGGACCACCTGTAGGATAACTTTCATCTAGTCTCCAACTTGTCTTTTGGGGGAAAGTTGTTGAGCAAGTGGTGGCCTGCAGCTCCAGAGAGCCCTGAAGGAAGTGGATTATTTGTATCCCTTCAGTCAGGATTCAAACCCATGATAGCATGAGATGGCATTGATCATGCTTATCAGTGACCTTTGGCATTCCTGGGGCATAATGTATCCATCCTCACCTTCCTTGATCTCTTGGTGACTTGATACTATTAATCAGAGTATTCTTCTGGACCAGCTCAGGGGATTGGGAGTGGGAGGCATGGTGTTCTGGGGTTCTCCTTTCTCCAGGCCTGATTCCAATTGGTGTTGGTAGGTGAGGAGAGATCAGACTTGAGGCCCCTACTTTGCAAAGGTCCTCAGGGCTCTACATGATTGAGATTTGGCGTTTCACAATGGGCAAGCTTTTGTGACCATCGCAGCATCCCACAATCACATGATCACCATTTGCACACTCCATACCCAGCTTCCAACAAGCAGAGCCAATGGAGAAGCCGGCAATAAAATCACAAGTTGCGGTCACGTGATGTCTCACTTAGCAACTGTGGGTGATTCGCTTAACGATCATGGCAGAAATGAGGTTGTAAGTCTGTCGCGGTTATGTGATGTCTCGCTTAATGACTGTGTTGCTTAGTGATGAAGTTGCTGGTCCCAATTGTGGTAGTTAAGCGAGGACTACCTATAGAAGTTGAATAAGACCCTGCAAAACAGAGGTCTAGGGCTGGCCCTCTCTTCCCACCACCAACTGGAACCAGCCCTGGAGAAGGAGAACTGCTGTAACCCTGCCTTCTACTCTCAAGCCCCTAAGCCAGCCCAGAAGGATACCCTAGTTGATAGTATCATAAGCTGCTGAGAGATCAAGGAGAGCCAGGGTGGATGCACTCTCCCCTTCCCAGACCCGAGAGAGGTCATCCTCAAGTATGCCCAATTTTGTCTCAGTACTGTAACCAGGCCTAAGAGCAGACTGAAAAGCATCCAGATGGTCTGTTTCCTCCAGGCCCTCTGGAACTGCAGACCCACCACCAAAAGGGAAGGTTGGGTGAAAATTGGCTAGTTCCATTGGATCCAGTGGTTGCCTCTTGTCAGTCTTTTCTTAGCCTTCCATAATGCTTAAAAAGTCTTGTTGATAATTGAAGTAAATACTCATTGCAGTGGAAGAGCTTGCTGAAATGTTATTCAGCTTCGTTCTTCTGAAGGGCAGTTTGTAAAATTCTCTGGGGTCAGTTTTCTGTCATGTTACAGATGTTTGTCTCATGAAAAAAATCTGCCTCTGTCTAGAGAAATTCAACACCTATGTAACCCTGAAGGTCCAAAATGTCAAGAGCACCACAGTTGCCGTCCGAGGGGGCCAGCCATGTTGGGAGCAAGACTTTCTCTTGTAAGTGACGCACTGGGAGCTCGCCCAGCCCCCAAGGCACCGGCTGGGCCTGGGCAAAGCCCCCACAGAGTAGAGTCTTTCCCCTGGGAGATTCCTGCTGATCCTGCGCCAAGAGATCAGCATCTGTACACGTTTGGAAGTGCAGCCAAACTGCCCTTGAACTTCTCTCAGCAACAGGCTGACCAAATCTGGTGGCTGAATCTGAATTCATTGCATTTTATAATATTAACTTGTTAGTTGCAACTAGAATTCTATAAGACCAGTGTATTGGGGCGAATGGGAAGAATTCATAAATTAACTGGGGGATGAGGAGGTTTCTGAAACAAATGCCCTTAAATTGATGTGAATGTTCGGGTACAAATATGGTAAGAAAGGAGAAATTGCAAAGCCGAGTGCTATTTGCATTTTTTAAAAATCCATCTGGACTTCAAAGGGAAGATAGTTGTCCATGGTGCTGGCTAAAGTACAGGAGAGCACCTGATCTGCGGCGGCGGCAGAGGCTGCTGCTGCTGCTGCTGCTGCTGCTGCTGCTGCTGCTGCCGCTGCTGCTGCTGCTGCTG